TTAGGGAAAAGGGCCCGCGTAAGAGGGCCAGAGCCCACAGTCGGCGGAAACAGTTATTTCATCTCACACCCTGAGAGCACTAAGCAACACAAGATTAAAGTAAGCAAGTATTAGATTAAAATGATCAAATGTGTGGTGCAGCCTGTAAATTCCACAGACGACTGGCAAAAGAGAAATAAACATTTGCAGGGCAAGCTTCGCAGAGCCACCAAACCGAGCCTTGACTCCCATGCACATCATCACAGAGGAAGAAGCAAGCCCCAAGAGCAGGAGAACTCAAGAACAGAGGCTCAGAGTGCAGCGGGGCTTGGGGCCATGGTGAGGCTGGTCTGCTGCAGTACAGGACACAGCGCTCCCATCCAAAGCCGGAGAAGTAGATCCAGAACACACACACACAGGGAGGGCCTTGAATGCCATGCCAGAGAACTGCCTGCATTCAAGAAGCCAGAGGTCCTCAAGCTAAAGGAAGATACACAAAGTGAAACGCTCCTGATAACCAGAGCTAGCGAGTCAGGAAACCACCTATGTCCCAGGCAGAGATGTCAAATTCCTTCACAGCTGTGTGCCGTGAACCTTGGGACTATCATTCATTTACCCGCTTACCCAAACATTAAGTACCTATGTGGGGGAGGCCAAGTTCCTTCAGGTGCACCCTCTGTCCACAGAGTCATCCAGCCCCCTCTCCCCGTCACCCCACATCAGGGCAATAAACATGGTGAGCAAATCCCTCGCCCCAGGAGCCCGCTGTCACTCGACAGTCGCCCACAAAGCACCACACGTGCTATCCCACCTCTGCCTCCGCGAGGCCTTTCACAAACGTGCTGCGGTCTCGTCCTTGACATTTTCCTCCCATAAGGTACGTGTCTCGAGCAGGCAGAAGGCTGGAGGAAGGAGAAAGCAGGCAGTCCACCCTCAGTTCAAGCCACAGGCGCCAGGTGAGTTGCCCACCTGCCCATGGGTTTGGGTAAACCCCCAGCCTCAGGGAGATCTTCTAACCCCCACACCTGGCTCTGTGGAACTGCTGTTTCTTCAGGGATGAATCAGGGCCCCCAGACCATTCAGCCCCATAGTTTCCCTAGGAAAACAACCTCAGAAGCCCCCCTTCCACCGCAGCTACTCACCCCCTCCCTTCAACCAACACAACTGGAGAAGCCATGTCCCAGCCTGCCCCCTCCCTAACCACACAAGTTCTAACCACCACATTTCTGTTTTCATTAAATCAAGCCTTCTAATTAAAGAGTTTGCAACTTCTGCTCACCTTGGACATTGCTGCAGACAGGAGGAGCAAATGGGAGACTAGCTCAGGCGCCAGAGGAAAGGCAGAGCAGGCACTCAGCCGGTCCAGCCCTCCTCTGCTCCCGCTCCGCCCCACCGCACCTCTACAGAAGGTGACCAGGAACAATTAGTGCTATCCTGTCCCAAGGCACTTCCCAGCTACATCTCAACTGAGATGGTTCTCCTTGTAATATTAATTAAACAGATTATTTTTGGCAAACCCCTAAAGAGTGTCTTTTGTGGCAGGCTTCTCCATTAAGCCTCCAAGAAGGCAAAATGCATTAGGACATTGTAATGAGGGACAAGGAGCGGGGACAAGGAACACAAGGCAACGCAGCCAAAAGCTGTTTGAAAAATCTGCTGGGAGCCACAATTAGATGCTTTAGTGAAGGAAATACAATTAATCTGATCAAATCTGTCACTATTTCACACATTAGGGGTAAATATTTTAGAACACAGCCCAGCTGCATCAGTTAAGGGCAGACACCCTGCCTGCAGAAGCTGCACGCTCCGCCTCCTCCCCACGCCAGGAAGAGACATTGCAAGAACCAGACAGGACCTGCATCTTCCTGGGCGCCCACCAAGATGCGCCGTGGGCACCTTAACTGAAAGCTACCCGACAGTCCCTCTTCCCTGGCAGACACCCTCAAGATAGCAGCCTGCAAAACAGGGTCTGGAAGAGCTGCTGAAGGAAAGCGGGGCAGAAGCTGGGGGAGAGTGCAGCCCTGCCCCTCAGCGCAGGAATGGGGGTCCCTCGAACAATTACCCAGGAGAAGGTCATGAAGGAGTGGGCTGAGCCTCTGCCACGCTGTACCCTCAAGAGCGACTGGCCAGCCAACTCCCTGAGCAAGGAAGGAGGCTTCTCCTCCATTGGAAGGACGGAGCAGTATGCCTTTCCTGTTGCCCAAGGAGCCTGGGGCCTGGGCTCTCCCCAGAGTGACTCTCTAACCCATCCATCAGGACATCCCAGCTAGAGACAAAGGCCATGAAATGACCAGGGCGGATCCACCTCCAGAGCAGAGGCTGAAAGTGACAGCAGGGTCACTCCTGCTTCCCTCTGCCTCTGTCTGCTTGCAGGGCGCCTTCTCCTGGGCCTCCCTGCCTTCCCACTCTGGCCCCAGGACCAAGCAAGCATCTGCCCAGCTTTGCCTGCACTGCTTCTTGCCCCCTCAGGCCTTCAGTCAAGGGCGATGGGGTGAAGACCCTTCTCCTAGGCCCACACCCTGAGCTATAACCTCTCCATTCCCATTTATGTGGGTGACTAAAAACTGTCCCTGAAGAAAGGGACCTCTGGGGCTGAAGTTCACCAAGACAACAAAGGCCAACTGTGCTAAACCTGGAGACGGGGGCTTCCTGAGAGGGATGTGTTAACACTTCAGAAGAACATCGAGAAGCTTCTTTCCAAGTCAGAAGGCCCAGTGACAGGCCAGTGTCCTCTGCTTTGTGACATTGGCCTCCACTTCAAGATAATGGTGAAAGGACCTTCACTATCAATGAGCCTCTCCTCATCTGTCCATCCTGCAGTCCAGACCCCAATAGGGAACCCCGCTGAGGCTGCTCCCACCTCCCCTCAGGGACTGCTTCGCCCGGCTCACACAGTCAGCTTCCCACTTCCTGAGAGGGCAGCCCAGACCTGACAGCCGAGGGCGCCTCTCTCCCTAGCATGGCCAGCTAAGGAGAGAGTCAAGAAGTGGGCAGAGGTCAGGAAGCAGTCCCTCCCTACCTGCAGGGGTCGGCCGCACCCAGGAAAGCCCTGCCCTGGCTGGGGCAGAGGCCTGGAGGTATTCACAAATGGCTCAGACTTCAGGGCTGCTGCCTGGCCCTCAGGCCTAGGCCCACCAAAGGCCATGCCCCCACCCCCAAGCAGGGCCACACCGCCCCCACTTGTGCTGCTGCTGACCTGCCCTGCAGATGGGCAGGGGCCAGGGACAGCCGTTTGCCCTGAACTACCGCTTGCAGGAATTATCTTCTCTCTGAAGTCCTATCTCAAGGGGCTTTGTCAACACTCAAGAATGACAAAGGCAGAGACCTAAGAAAACTACTCCGACCACTGAATTTGCCTTGTCCAAATGTAGCAATAACAAAGCCACAGACATGTGAAGAGCGCTCCTTTCCCTTCTCTTGTCCTCTCCTTCCACTCCTCGGACTTCCACCCTCACATCAAATCCATCCTCCTCTTGGCTAAAAAAGTGAGTATGCCAATTCCTAATTATCAAGGTAAAATGGAGAGTCACAAGACTCATTGTCAGAGAACACACACACACACACACACACACACACACCCTCTAGGGAACTGAAGTCCAGTCACTCGCCCCCACTATACGGCTCTCCAGTCCAAGGCTGTGAGGGTCTTCAAGGAAAGCCCCTGAAGACCCAGGAGCTGCCCCAGGGTGCTCGCTGCCCACCCCCTGAGCCCCAGTTCTGACACCGACTGGGCTGCGCAAACTGTGTTGTGTCTCCAAGAACCCGGGATCCGCACCGGTTCCACTGCTGTGCTTGTGAGATTCACCACGCACCCGGTAAGCCTCAGGGTCCCTTCAAACAAGGTGGACACATCCCAAGAAAACCCTCTCAAACGCAGCTCCTGAGGAGAACTACAGCCTGCGCGCTGCGTTCCCACCAAACGGCTTTGCAGAGCCGCTTCCTCCATATCTCTCGCTCCCTGCCTGGAGCCCTGCTCCGCCCAGCCAGAGCCAGGAAGGAGGGAAACATGTGCAAGGCTGCCTTAAGAAGGGTCGTGCAGAGGGGCGGGCTGGGGAGGGGTAAGCGTGGGAGCGCGTCCCCAGCCTTTTCTTGATTGGGCTGCCCAGCGCGGCACAGTGGCAGGTGAAGATAGCCCTGGAGCGCGCGCTGCTGGTCTCCGCTGCTGCCCCAGCCCTGGCAGGCGAGACTCAGGTGTCCGGTCCGAGCACCCCAACCCCTGGAGTGGGCTCAGCGGCGCCACCTCTCGGTGCGGCCTCGTGCAGGGGACAGAGGAGGGGAGCAGAGAGGTGGAGAAATGTGCATCCGGCAGAAGGACCAACTCCACTCTGGCGCGAGGCATGCCGCTGGACGCGACTGTGGAAGCGGGGAAACCGAGGAGTGGTCATGAATGCCTGGGAACGAGCGGTGCGGAGAGAAAAAACTGAGGGCGCTTCACGCTTTAAACTTTCCCAGTACCTCTCTTACAGCTTTCTAGAGCAGCTGCCTGGCTTTGCGTGACGGCAGACCATGAGCCCAGGGCGAAAGGCTACCGCCCCGGCTGGTAGAGGTCCAAATGGTCTCATCTGGCGTGAGGGTGCGGGGTGGCATGGGAAGGGAGCCCCGGCAGTGGCAGGTCTGCATCCATCTGTCCAGCGGCTGTTTTTCCACATCAACGGGAGTAGTGGCCCAGGAATTCAGGCACCCCAGAACATGAAAACCGACTGTGCGAGCCAAGAGTACGTGGCCGAGGGTGCCTCCTCCCTCCATCTCTGGACTCAGGCTTTCTCCCCTCCTGGACAGCCCCAGTTCTATGGTCTCGAGTGAACACAATCACGGGTATGGGTACACACACACACACACACACACACACACTCCTAATGGCAAACTCTGCTAACCTGTTGGGGGAATGGGGGAAATGGATAAATCTTCCCCACTAAAAGTCTAGCTGCTCCCGCTCTGCGTCTCAACCTAGAGCAAGTGGGTCTGGTTCCCTCGCTCTCCCCCTCTTCCCCTGGAGTCGGCGCCCGGCCGAGGGTACTCACGCTGCTGTTGTGCCCGAACCAGTGCACCATGGCCTGGTTGTGGGCCGAGTCCCCGGTCAGCGCAAAGGAGGTGCTGGGCAGGCGGAGCTCCTCGGCGGCTGGGCCCCCTGTCCTTGTCGCGCGCACCTCCTCCCGAGGACCCTGGGCCGGAGGACGGCTTCCTTTGGAGCCCTCAGCTGTTGCAGTGGCCCGGGTGTCTCCGCGCTCCAGAGCGCTGGGGGGCTGCGCCCGGCGACTCCTTCTCGCGCCGCCCAGCTTGCCAGGTGCCAGGACGCCCTGGACCCACGGCGCGCCTGGAGGCGACGTCCTCCCGGCTTCAGCCCGCACCTCGCCGCTCGGCAGGCGCTCCGGCGCGGCGGCTTTCCGCGCGTTCGCAGGCTCCTCTGGCCCCGGGTTTGCCACTGCCCGCTGCGAGAGAGGAGGAAGAGCCGGCCGCCGCGAAACCAAAGACCCGGGGTGCCCCGGACTGCCTGTCGCGCCCCAAGTGATCTCGGCGCCTGCGAGGACCCACGTCGACAGAAGCAAGAGCCCGGTCCGGGCGAGGGGCGCCCCCGTCCAGCCCGCGAGGCGCTCCACACGCGCCACCTCCATCCCGCTGCGGCGATCGCGGCTCGGGCTGCCGAGTGTGTGGCACCCGGCGAGGTGCGGGTCCGGCGCGGGGGGTGTGCGCGCACCGGCGGGCGAGCGAGCGGGGCGGGAGCTGGACGCCAGGAGCGGGGAGCCGGGCGCGGGGCGCGATGAGGGACTACGGCCGGCTGGCGCGCCCACAGGACCTCGCCCGCGCTCTTCCCGCCCGGACTCCACAACCCAGGGAAAATTTACAATTATTCCTCCGGTGGTGGTGGTGGTGGTGGTAGTGGTGGTGGTGGTGGTGGTGGTGAAAGAGATCTCACCAAATCTCTCCCACTGAGCTCTTCCAGAAATTTTTTCAAAAGCAGTGTTTGAAGGTAAGGAGAAAATCCTCTTTTAAAATATAAAAAGCCGAATCCAGAAGGAGGGGCCGCCTAACGGACCCCAATTCCGAGTGTCGGGAAACCCAGCCTCCAACCTGCTCCGGCGGAAGAGTTGGGAACGGCCTCCCGCTGCGCTCGGGCTTACTCTCCCGGCCAGTTCTGGGGAGCGCGGGGCTGCGCGCGGAGGGGTGCGGGAGCCTCGGGAGCAGCAGGAGAGAGGAGCAAAGCGCTTGGCGCCAACTGCTAGCGTCGGGGAGCGAGCGGGAGCCCGAGCCTGCGCCGGGAGGCGGGCGCGGAAGCGGGGCGCTGGATGGACCCACCGCTCGGATCGCGCTCTCCCCCCAACAGCCCCCACCCCCGGCTTGTGCCCCCGCCCAGTGCGGGGGCGCGGGACTGCGTGCGTGCGCGTGCGTGCGTGCGAGCAGGGGGGTGGGGGCGCCCGAGCCGGCTGGTGGAGGCGCCGCCCGGTGGGGGCATCGGGAGGAGCTGGAGGGGGTGAGAGCTGGGCGAGCGGGGGCGCGCGGTTTCTCGTGTGCGCGTGTGCACGAGCTGTGTGCGTGTCCCGGAGAGCGGCGGGGCGGGCGCGCTCGGGCCGTGGGCGCTCGCGGAGCACGCGCGAGTGTTCCTGCGTTTCCAGGCGCCTGTGAGTCGTCAGAAAGGCGTGTGGAGAAAACAGGCAGGGCCCCTCTTCCGGGAGCCCCCCTCACCCTTCCCAGGTCCCCTTCGCCAGCGATTGATCGGAATCTGATTAACCCTCCACGGGCCAGACCATGGAGCTGGAGGTGCCGGGCAGGGGTCTCGGCTCTGCTTCCAGGCCATGGCCAGAGGTGGGCAGAGAGGGTCCTAGAGACGTCTGCTTCCACCAGAAACCCACACCCCATCTCACGGCCTGGAAATGTCTGGCTGTGCCCTAAATGCCCCAGACCCGTATCTAAACGGACTCGGCTGTGTCCTCGCCGGTTGGAAGGTGCTGTGCCCAAGGCAGCTTGGACTTACGGCTCTGGGCCGGCCTGGGCGCGAGGCGACCCATGGGAGACAAAGCCTTTAGGTGAGCTGGAGAGAGGGTTTCCCCTGAGGACGGCCTGGCGGACTCGGACAGGGAGGCTGCCGCCTGGGGAGCTCCCAGAACCTCCTGGGGTGGCAGAGGGGGCGCCCGAGCTTCGGGGAGTGGGAAGGGGCAGTGCGAGGAGTCACCCCCAGGCCGGCCCTGCTCTCCCTGGTTAGAGGAATTCCATTGTAGGAGAGGGCTAGCGGGAGAAGGAGGCGGAGCACCAGAGGGGTGAGAAGGGAAAATCTCGACAAGTCAGGAGGGTGGAGACTGGCCAGGTGAAGACTATGGTGAGAAGAGGGAGGGGAGGCCTTGGAGAAGAGACGTGGAGGAGCAGAGGATGCGCCTGAGACTCACCCCTCGGGAGGGCCGCGCACTGAGGATTCCAGCAGCCCTCACCCGGGGGAACTTGATTTCTAACCAGAGCCAGAATGGAACTTGGGGACAGAGAAGGAATCTGGGCCGGAAAAGAGACCAGGAACCATGTCCAGCCCGAACAAAGTGGGCCCTGCCCTCTGTGGGCTTCGAAAGACTGAGGGCAGCGAGCGACCTCCAGAAAAGTTCCAGCGCCGCGGGCCCAGGTGGATACAAGACGCCACACCATCCGCGGGCACTCAGCGCCCCTGTCGGAGAAGGCCGGGTGCTGCAGGCCGAGCCGGGAGCTCAGGGGTTGCAGGCGATGGTGGAGATGCTACCTTATAAGGAACCTCGGGCTGTCCGTGGGGCCTTGAAGTGAGGGTGAGGGTCTCACGACCCAGGAGAGAGCAGTCGCCCGACCTGGCCTGGGGGAGAAGCCGTCCCGTTTTCTGCAGACCCCCAGCCAGGGCAGTGGGCTGAAACCCTGGGAAGGGGCACTTCTCTCATCCTACCCCAGGAGGCCCCCGCTGATGGATCCCTTAGAAGGAGCGCTCGCTCTGGAGGGCCCTAAGCAGTCGGAGCTGCTGAAGTAGGGTCTCTACACACTCGTGTTGCAGGTGTGACGTTTTCACACGTCTCCTGCACCGAGTCATTGCCGACCCCATAAATTACTGTCCCCTCCCCTGTCCTCCTCCCCTCCTCCTCTCAGGGGGCACTCCCTCCTCTTCTAGTCCTTTGTGACCCCCTCTTCAGCCTCTTTGGCTGCAAAAACCTTTTCTAGTGCAGGATCCTCCAAAAAACACTGGACAGCTACAGCTCGCCCTTCCTCGCCAGTGGTGTCCTCTCTGTGTCTCCCTCTCCTCCTATCCTATCAGTTGCATAATTCTCTGTGTGCGGCTGTCGTTCTACTCTCCCTCCATGATTGCCTCCTTTCTGTCATCCAGTCACCACTTTTTGACACTAAATCCTAGATCTACAATGCCCACTACATCCTCTCCTAAGCCCATACCCTCAGCTCCTCCCTCATGTGTCTTACGTCTGTTTTCTGTTGCTATAACAAAATACCTCAGGCTGGATAAATTATAAAGAAAATACATTTGTGCCGCACACTGTACTGGAGGCAGGGAAGTTCAAGATTGAGTGACCTTCTGTGGGGAGGTCTAATGCTTTGTCAACATAGCAGATGGCGTTGTCTAGGGGTGTCACTGAAAACAGACCCAGAATCACTGCCCTCCTGCCCTCCTGCTGAGCCTCAGCACCACTGGTCTAAAGCTCTCGGTGGCTTTGAGTCCTTTCCTCCTCTTCTGTTCTTCCACCCCTCCAGCCAACTTCCGCTGTCTAATAAAAAGATGATGTGATGAGGCACGGGAAATTCTCAGTTTTCTCATAGCTTTGTTAAGGAAGTAAAAAGAAGCCAATGGAATTGTGACCATTAATCCCAATGTGCCAGCCTCACTGGATTAAGAAATACCTAGCAGATTGGTTAAGCAGCCCCTGGGCCTTGCTGGTGGGCCGTGCAGGGTGACTCCGGTTGTTGCGAGTAAGTCCTCAGCCACTCCTCCCTGGCCCTGGCCGCTGGCTCTGTGTGTCCGGTACTTGCTTCCCCATGACACCCTGCCTTGGACCTAGTGGACTGAACCTGAAACTGGGCCAGAATAAGCTTCTCATCTTAGTTGTCAGCGTCAAGGATTATGTCTAACTAGAAGAAGCTAATACAGAAATTCATTTTTATTTCACTGAATTGAATCTATCAAATTTCACCTTGTAACCAACATAAAAATATTGAGACATTTAAAAATATTTGGGGGGCGAAGGCTTCGAATGGGGTGTGCATTTTATTTATAGCACCTTCCAGTTCAGAACACCCAGATCTCAAATGATCAGCAGCCATGTGTGAATAGTAGCTATTGTTTTAAACAGCACAAGGGCTGGGGCGATTGCTCAGTAGAATAAGCAGTGCCGGATCCAGAGTTCAATCCCCAGTACCATAAAAAATAAATAAAAATAAAAAATAAACAGGACAACGTCACGCTGTTGGCCAACATCACTTCTTATACGAACACTGGGCATAAGGACACACGCCTGTAAAGCCAGGAACTCATGAGGCTGAGGTAGGAGGATTACAAGTTTGAGGCCAACCTGGACAAGCTAGCAAGACAACATCTCAAATATTTCAAAGAACTGGGCGAGTAACAGTGGAACAGCACTTGCCTAGCATGTTAGAAGTGTCGGGTTCAATCACGAATGTCAAATAAAGAAAGAAACTATTTCAGTTGTCCTCCAATCAGGGTTCTTTAGTTACCAACTTGTCCTGAGTTCCTATTTCTTAGAATAATATACAAGTCTCATGTGCTGCCCAACCTCCATGAACTTTCTTATGTTCTGTAAGAATATTCTGGAAGGTAACCCTCTGCCACAGTTGCCATCATGGTCGGATCGCGGCCAGCTCTTCCGTGAAGCCTGCCCCCCGCCCCTTGGTGCCTAACACTGTGCTCATTGTTCTCACCATGATCTTGCTACCCTCCTCAGCTCCTTTGTCCTCCTGCTGTAAGATGCTGCAAAGTCAACTCACAATTGGACAGTAAGCTGCGGTTGGAAGCTTCTCCGGTGCACCTGCCCAGCATGATGTCTTCTTCAGTCCGTAGGGTGGGCTGGGCTAGGACTGGCCCTCACTCTCCAGGGGAAGAGAAAAAAGGCATCACACACAAAAAAGAAAGCATCACATGTTGGAAACGGGGGAGGCACACAGGAGGCAGCAGTCTTCATAACAATGCGTGCTCTCAAAAATGTGTTTTGCTGACAGGGTTTCTGTCCCTGTTACCAGTAGGTTGAAAGAGCAAACCAAGTTTTACGTTGTCCATGAGATTACTGCCAGCCAAATGCACTTTCTTTCAGTTGCTTTTTAAAATTAACTTTCATAGCAGATTAATACTTTAGAAAACTGTCCTGCTCTTCTGTCTGTCGGTCTGCCAGCCTCTTCCCACTTCTCTTTCTGTCCCTTCCACCCCTTGCTCTCTCCCTTCTGAACCCTAACAACCTACCGGATGCCTTGCCATTTGTACGCACAGAAAAGCATTCCAATTGTGCGTCTTTCCCTTACTTAATAAAATGCTCAGTACCTCCTCCGTGAGAACCTAACTGCACATTCTCGTCACGCTGAGACCCAGGAAAATGCGGGTTTCTCCTGTGAAACTGATAGCCTTTCTTAAAGGCTTTCCTAAAATGCTTTTGCC